AATGATGATGAGGAGAAGAAAGATGATGAGGATGATGGTGAGGAAGAAGATGATGGTGATTATGATTAATGATAATGGTTGGTGATGAGAATGATAGAAAATGATTGATGAGAATGATGACGATGATGAATGATGAGAATCATCCCTCTCATCCTTACCCTACTCATTATCTTCATTCTCGTCGTCCTCATCTTCATTATCCTCATGATGATGATGGTGACTAATGGTGAAGAGGATAATGATGAAAATGATGATGGTAATGATGACGATGATGATAATGGCAGTAACTAGAATGATGATGAGGATAACGATAATAATGAGGATGATGGTAATGATGATTATGATTATGGTGATGAAGATAAAGATGATGAGGAAGATGAGGATGATGCGGCTGATGAGGAGAAGGAAGATGATGAGGTAGATGATGATGGATGATGATGAGGAAGAAAATGCTGCTAATAAGGATGGTCGATATAGCTAAAACCTTAAATAATGCTTTTTTAAGAAACCGGTAATTGAAATAATTTTTGTATTTCTTTCCATAATCAACAACTTAAATGAATGTTTTAAAACTTCAATAATATCAATCCATTATTTTAAGTATGTATGTACGTTCTCAGGGGCGGATCCAGAAATTTCAAAAGGGGAGTGGTGGCATTTGTATAAGGGAATTGAAAGTTGGGCCAAGTGAGATAACAATATCCTAGGGGATCTGGGGGAATTTCCCCGTAAAATGTTTTGTTCTAGACGCCCAAAAATAACCCGAGGTCTTTTGGGCGATCATTTTTTTTTCTTTCTTTTCCTTTTTTTTCTTACTTTCCAAAAAGGGGCAGGGCCGGGCCGCCCCCTCCAAATCCGCCCCTAGTTCTGTACATTATTCATTTATATTATGCTTTCGTTTTAATCCAAATGAGGGTATTACAGACGCAATTGCCTACACAACGGTGTGTACACATGAATCGCACGATGGATTGAATTGGAAGGAAACAACACCTGATAAGGTGTATTGTATAGTAAATCCTTGCCGAGCCATATGGCTCTTATGGACTGAGGATTGAAAACTTGGATTCCAAATAATTTCCACTGTGCCAAACCGCTTTCATTAAACATGATTTTTTTTTACCTCTCTTATAAGTCAATTCTTTGCACAGTTTTAATTTTGTAAATTTCTCAATAAATATGCAGATAACAATTCACCAAGACATCAGTTTAAATTCAATTACTGAACTAACAAAATGAATTTAAATCATATAGTAAATTATATATTCTAATAAATTATTTATTTGTCCTCAATAGCTGGTGTCAGTAGCATGTTTGATGCAATAATCGCAGATTCCATAGCGAAGAAAATATTAGAAAAAGAAACGGAGAAGAATGTGCAGTAACAAGACAAGTAAGATTTACACACTATCAATTTGGTGATATTTAATGAATATTTTAAGTTAATTTAATGAATGTTTCATGGTAGAGTAACTAATTGATAAAATATAGCTGAAGTATACAGTTACTTTTTTATTAATATTTGTTTACATTTATTTCAAGAGCGTGTTATCACCAGCTAAAGCAGAGACGAAATACAATCCAGGTAAGACATTCTTGCTATTTCCCTAAGTAATTGATTAATGCACCTTTTTTTATTCAATATTTCACACAGAGCCCCTTCACATAGCCTTATAGCCGAGGCACATCTAAAACAAATTCACAACTATTTAAGGTATGGTGGCATTGAATGATTGATTGCAAAAGAAATGTATAATTGTACATTGCCAAAAAACAAAAACCAAAAAATGAAAAATAACAACCTGGAGGAACAGCTCATTCAGAAGGATTGGTCAAAAATTTAGACAAGAAAGAAATCGAAATATCCTCGCTGACAGACTGAGCCACTTCAATATAATAAATTTGATATCAACCACCATCAAACTTTATGTGGTCTATGCAAAACAAATCATGATTTTATTATAATTTGTTTTTAACTTACATTTTTAGAGTTTTTTTCTTCTAATTCATCAAATCATCATCAAATGTTGACGCCAAAAACCCAAATATAGAACCGAATGTAAGAACCAAGACTCGGACACCGTCGATGAAAAAGGTTCCTGAAAACATCATTGATGAAGTCCAGGAGAGAATAAAAGTACCGGTACTCAAGTTCACAAGAGATAAAACAAGTGATTGGCAACCATCTGGCAATGAATTTATTATGAACATATGGGACTTTGGAGGCCAACCGATATATCATGTGATACAACGAGTAACGTCATTATATTAAATAATAAATTAAATAAAATTGTCGTTATTATTAAATCAAAATTAAGAAATATTATAGGTATTTCATTCAGTTTTAATTGATAATGAAACATTATCTTGTAGATTTTCATGGTATTTTTTGCCGTTGTTTGTGTGGTATTTAACCTAGAAGATGACCTTGACGCTCCAGCTAAAGTCAAAGATCCGACTACTGTAAGAATTACCTCTTTAAAGATTTATTATTTCTTAGCAAGTTTCGACTTAAAATATATTAATTTGTTCGATATTTTATTTTTTTTTATTTCAGGGTGAAATGTATCCACATCTAATGACAAATCTTGAGTTCATTCTATACTGGATTCGTTCTGGATTCGTTCAGTATACACAAACAGAGGGATTCAAAATTGGATGATGGACAACTTTTCCCGCCAGTACTAGTGATTGGTACTCACCTAGGCAGCCTCAATGGGAATGAAGAGGAACTGGAAAAAAGGTAAACAACTACATCATGCACAATGTAAGCAATCCAACAGCAAGTAACACTCATCATAAACAAACCTCAGACAAACAAAAGTTGAAGGTTATTTCTACTTTTTATTAAACATTTTTTTGAAAAAAAAAACATTATAAAATGCTTTCCGTGGATAACTAGAAGTAAAACGCTATTAAGGGTTTTTCGAGGCATCATAACAGAAATTGCAACATTACATTAAAATTAAATTTCGATAAATAAGTTAAGTCGTATAAAAGAGGTCATATAAAAAAATTATAAAATATATACAAAGAGTTCATTACATAAACAAAAAAAAATAAAAAATACAATCAATTATTGCAGTAATTATTTACAAATAGATAAAAATATTAAAATATTAAGTTAATGATATTTAATAGGCCTACTATAAAAATAACTTTAGAGTAATAAATTATGCCGCATAACCTTAAGTATAACCATTAAGAAACTTAAGGCATTCTCTACGATCCAATTTTATTCGCTATTTATTATCCAAACACTACTGTCGGTTATTCTTACACAACTCAAGACCACTACTTAATTTTACAGTGTAAATTATTCTAAATACACTAATTATCCGGCATCTTAGGCGGCTACTCATGTGATGCTTGTTCTTTGTTAGTAGTTATGAGACTCTGGAGAGATCCTGATAGAACAGCGTAGATATACTGTCTCTTATTTCCATCATTAAATACAAAATAAACACATCATGATGAATGATGAAAAATTGAGAAATGGATGGAAATACAACGCAAAGTAAATTGCTTGGAAAATGTTTTACCACGTTTGTTTACATGCAGAATTTAAGCAAAAGAACAGGAACAAACTCACACCTACACAGCACACAAACAAAGAAGCATGAAATCAAACATTTGAGAAGAATCCATAGAAGTAAATTAGGTAGGCATCGGAGGCAATGAATATTGAAATCTTAATGTGAAGTAAATGAATTTAAGAAATGTTTTACTGAATTGGGAGACCGGCACCGGCATCCAAATCTAGGAGATAAGCAGGGCCGGATTAAAGGGCTGTGGGGCTTGTGGCTGTAATTTGAAGTGGGCCTGAATACTTTGTGGCTAAAACATAAAACCAGATTTTTGGTGATTTTTCCTGGGGTTTGAGTGCCTGGAGTCGTCGAAACACCTTCCAATTGATTGGGGTGATCTCAGCAGAACAAATAATCGACTGGATTCTGAAGGCGCTAAATTTGGGTTACTCACTATTTACTGTGATTACTGCGTCTTTATTCTCATTCTTAATATAACTTAGTTGTTAGTGGCGCTGTCTAGAATGATTAAAAAAAATAAGGATCCGGCAAGTCTATTAAATTGGGCCGCTGGAGATCATGACTGGTGCAGGACCAAGTCAACTACTTGTCGTAACGATCCGATTAGGTAAATGATATTTTACATTGACATGGATTTTGTCTCCATTTGACGGTTTTAGCAACCTCATAATAAAAGCAGGGTGGTCCCGTAGCAGGGAAAGAATAAATAGCTGAGCAAAACGAAACTGGGTCCTACTTTTTCTAGTTTTTCCAACAGTGCACTTCGTTCTTTTAACCGGCAATTTACCCTTCATTATACATATTACAACTGAACATCATCTTAATTAATATCTTCTCTAATACACCTATCTCTTTTCCTTAATTTTACAGAGTGTGATATACCACATCATTATTTATTGGAAAAGGAAGAGTAATTCTATTCCCCTTCCCCTTAGGGGACAGAGTTTTGTTTTTTTCCATAAGCAAACATCTATAATAATAAGCAATTCGACGCCTGTATCTTGACATTTGAGCGACTCGCTATTCTTTAGTATGACAGGACCAGTAGGCCTTCATCAGTATCGATAATTATTGCACCGAGAGCTGTTCTCTCTGAATAACAATGACCTGGCACATCCACTGACACATGTGTTGACCAATCAGTTTACAAATTTAATTATAATTATTGTGCTATTGAAAGTATTTATAGTGATAATTTTAGTATATAAAATGAACATAATAAGTCGGGGACCTTTCCCCCTCCTCAACGTCGGACCTCAAATCTTTTATTTTCTATATTTTTTCATTCTTTTTTGCTTATTTGTGACAAAAGAATGACCATATATATTCTAAACCCGTTTGTACAAAAAAAAAGTATTAAAAAACATATTTATTCAAAAAAATTCAATTTTTTAACACCAAAAATTCAATTCTTAACACCAAAAATTTATTTTATTTTAAACACCAAAATTGTTTTTTTTTTTTTTTTTCGGTCCCAGAGATTCTTTTAAAATTATATGCCCATACTAATATCCAAATTTGGCACTTTTGTCATCCAGGTAATTCAATTATTAATCTATGCATAAGGTTAAAATCTAAATTGTTACAAAAAGTCTTTATATTTTTTATTGTTATTGCTTATTTCCGACTAAATAATGATTATATCGATTCTAAACCCTTTGTACAGGTAGGTATTGCATTATAATAGTCAAAAATACCAAAATATTTAGACCGTATTTTTTCCCAAAAATGCGATTTTTTACCTCTAAAATAAGATTTTTTTTTTTTGGTTCCGGAGATTTTCCAAAACTGTATGGCCATGCTAATATCTGTACCAAATTCGGCACTTCTGTCATCTGTGTAACGATCCTGACGCTAAGGCACTCCACTATTTTAGTTGTTGTTCTTCGTGTATCCTGCCGCCTTCACTTGCTGAAGATTCTGTAGCTTAATGTGTGTGTGTGTGTGTGGCTGTGGGCAGGCTGCATGACGTCTACCTTTAAACTATGTTTTCTATTTTCTTTTCCTCCACTTGTGTATTCTAGTGTATTTTTGTGTCTCCAACCTTTAGACATCTTTCTGACTTTAATTCCAGGAGAACATTTTTTTTTTTGTATAATTTTTTTCTAAATATTTTTTGTATTTTGTATTTTAATATTTTATCTTTTTATATATAAATTTTCTCAATCACTTCATGAATCTATGGCACAGTGACGCTAGATACAAAGACAGCCAGGGTGACCCCGCACTATACGATTTTCTTCAATTCCAGTTTAGTACGCGGAAAAAAGACATCATCCTATAGTTGGTTCTGTGATGGTGTTCCTCAAAACGTAGATGGTGCATGCCCCTTGTGAATTTTTAAATGCGACGCACATTTGCGGCAAAAACTGTATAATAATTGCCTGTCCATGGTGAAACTTGTAAATTAAATTCAGTTTCTGCATGCGAGCCGACATTAATGTTTGGCCACATCTGGAACTTCTACTTCTTTTTCAATTTTGGCCTTGTTCTATCTTCGTATAGGGGTTCCGTACACTGCATGCAAACTCAAGCCTCAGCCGAACTAAGGCCTTGTATGCAATTTCCCTCGATCTCTCATTGGTTTTTGTGTAAACTTTAAGTAGCCATTTAATATTATTTTGTTCACCACTTGCTGTAAAAAAAACTTTTGTTTGTATTGGAATAGATATTGAATATATTGTATAATAGAACAAAAAATGTAGGTAATGGGACAACAGGGCATTTTGCAAGTTAAATTGACATTGTTGTAATTTCTTAGTTTTTGGTCTCTTGCTACTGGACTGTAACATTAAGACTAATGAGTTCTTGTATATAGGCCTCTCCTTGACTTATTGGACTTATGACCCGAGAAGCGATATGCCCTTTCAATTTTAAGCTTATCTTCAATTACTTTTTTTTCTCAGCTCTATATATGTTCATTTCAATTCATCTTGTTGCTGATACTTTTTCTTGTAGTAGGTTTGGAGTTCTATTTTTGTATCTCCTTTTCCAAAGGTGTCCAATGCATCACTCATTGCTATGAGTTGGTTTACTTTAACTCTCTGCTTTTGACGCCACTTTACCAACATCTCCATAATGGCGTCTACAATAGGTGGTGGTGGAAAATTCATCTCAATTTGTTCTATGTCATTTTGTTTCAGACCAATGTGCCTGCCAAATGCTATCCAGTCTTTGCCAAAACTTTCCGCAACAAATAGCACGTCATTGTCATCCAAACGACCTGAAACTGTATATAATACAATTTAATATTTAATTATGTGGTATTAATTTTATTTTTGTTATTATTAGTATTAAAAATTATTAAGTCTTCTGTTATTATTTATTGTATATTTATCATTATTTATCAATAATTGTTACTGTTATTTATTATTACCGGTAATTATTTTTATGGGAAAATTTCATTGTCATCCTGATCCTCATTATTACAATAAACAATATAAGTGTGTTTTTTAGTAATAAATATTTTATATTATTTTTCTTTTAGTATACAATTCAATAAAAAATAAACCACTGAGTAAACGACTGAGTTCTGTAATAATGTGTACATTCATGTGCAGCATAATAGGAAAGAACATTAGTAGTCTTTGTTCAAAACTATCATCAAATGTTGTGATAAAAATTTAAAATTAATCAATAACTTATAAATCAATATTAAAAAAAGTATTATTGACATATATTCCAATGCCAATAAAATGTGATGCACAAAATCATGTTTTTTTTTTTAGAAAAATAATAATGGAATAAGCATTGTTGATATATTTTCACTAACCTTTCACGGGAAGTGTTCGGTGAGTATTCATGTGGGTTGTTGCATCTTCAAACTCATCTTCGTATTTGTGCCTTTCACGCAAACGTTCCGCAAGTTCAACAAGTTCCTGTTGTTCCAAAGCACTGATCATGATTGGCATTTGGTTTGTTGATTGACGTTCTCTCCAAGTAACCAGCAATTGCATTATACGGTCTTCAACCAGTTTGTTGTTGTTTGCTACTTTATTAATATCGGTCCACTTGAGTCCAAGACGCACTCCGAGTATCCTCCAAGATTTAGGCTCCAAGTTGTCGCAGATGAATAGCAAGTCTTGATCACAAAAGCCTTTCCCCAATACATTAACTATTACAGAAATGGAAAGTTTAATCAATGATACCTCATAGTTTTTATTTTAACTTGATAAAAATTATACACGGGCATAGCGATTAGCTTACTGTAATAATCTACAGTACCTGCTTGTTCTGAAATGAGTTTAACTTCATCATTAAATTCACCCTCAAACGTTTGTTTAACTAGATCCATGCGACCATGTTCTTTCAAAGCAGTGCACAACACTTTAAGTTGATGATGTTTACTACCGATGTTGCTCCTCCAATACTCCAGCATATTTTCAACAGCCTTATGAGTCAATGCTTCACTAACAAACCAACTGTTAACTTTTGACCAACTAAGTCCCAAACGGACACCAAACCTTCTCCAGCTGAAATTCATTTCCTCACAAACTGTTGCAATGATGGCATCATCCACATAACCTAAAAGTACAAGAAAACTGTAATTTAACAAATAATAATAAAACAAAGTTAGAATAATTAAATCCTTGATATTTTCCATGTAGAAGGTTATTATAGCATTATAAGCAAACTTTTTAAAAAATTACAATGATGAAATTAAAGAAT